CAATCACCCGTCCCTAGATTTGCCACTACTTGCCAGCTATTTCCACTGAAAAGGGTGGCATTAAGTGTAAAAAAGGTGGCATTAACTGGAAAATGACAAAATTCCACTCTTTTTCCACTGTAGTGGCAAAATTGCCACCAAATGCCACTATCCTTTGGTGGCATTTAGGTGGCATTGAGTGGAAATTTGAACATAGACTTTTTTATGGTGGCAAAAGGGTGGAAATTGGTGAAAAATGAAACTTAGTTTATTTTGAAGGTGGAAAATGAGTGGCTTTTAGTGGAAAAGTGAAACTTTAACTATTTTCTGGGTGGCAAAATAGTGGAAAAAAACTTAGAAAATTTTGTGAATAACTTTTAGTCGAAAAGGGAAACTCTTAACTATTTTCTGGGTTGTATAAAAATTGGTGGAAAAAACTGAGAAATCTAATAATTGTGCATTGCAGGGTTTAAGATTTATTTAAGTCAAAGCTCCAAACTGAAATAAATCTGTTTATAGTTTGTGTTCTACCAAAGCATCAAGTGAACTTTTTATCAAAAATATAATTTATTGAAGTTGAACAGTTAGAAAATTTTATCAGAAACTCATATTTCTTAAACATACTAGAATGCCATGAACACAATTCTGATACAAAGTCACTGCCTCACAGTAACGGTATGATAATTCCAGCTGTAAAGTAGCAGGAAAAGACACAGAAATTGGATGTAAAATCACTTTTCCAGGCGTAAAACACACATTAAATTAAGATCAGGAAAAATTAGAAAAGTATGGGGTTACTTAACTTCCCATTTTTTATGGCAGTACTTTTCTTTAGGGATGTAAAATTTGACTTTCAAGTCAAAATGTTTATGTTCCATTCTATGCTTGTAAAATAAAATTACGGCTTTTAAAGTGTACTTTGTTCTTTAGTTATAATCTGTACATTAATTAAATAGTTGAAATGTTCTTCTATGCCCAGAAAATGCATATCTCTGCATAAAGTTTGTTGCTTCTTCTATGATATTTAATGTCAATCTTGAATAAAGTTTTGACTTTTGTCTTTTCTTCTAATTGACATAATAAATTGTCTCTTCAATATTACTTTAAACTGATATCTGGTGAGTACTAACACTTTTCATGTAATGCTAACAATAATTAAAGTGAAAAATGCAAAGGGCAATAACTCCAAAAGTATGCAAAGAGTTATGGTTCTTAAACACAGCACATTACTCAAAAAGATCTATATCTGTGAAGTTTCAAATTAATATCTCCAGTACTTTTTAAGCTTAATGATCAAGACAAAAATTAAGCATAGAGAAGTAAAAAATGGCAATAAACCCCAAATCATGCAATAAAAAGTTATGGTTCCTTGGCATTGTAACTTTTATATAAATGAGATTTAGTTATATGTGGAGTTTAAAATTATTGTCTCTAACATCTTTTGTGCTATGCTTTCAGAGGCTTTAAATCTATTGTAAAAATTAATGTGTGAAAAGTAAATAAGTCATAATGTCTGATAAATTCTTACAATCAGGATAAGTAAATACTAGCTAGTAAATACTGCATCCTCTAAGATTTAACAACACAGCATACATCTCAGATCTGATAAAACTACTGCCCTCTTATCTAGTAATCTATGAATGGGGGTTAATAGTTTACTCATGCTGACCAGAATGTTCCATTTGATTATTTTGGGAGAGGCAACATTATACATGTTTTTATGTAGAATTTGTCTTAAAACAGCATGCTAAATTATCTTTCAAAAGCTTATTTCTACTCAATCTATTTAGGTATTAGATATAGTTATACATTCAAATGAATGTAAAAAATAAAATGATGGGTGCTATGGTTTTTGGAAAATCCCTCACAATTTAAAATTATAATGGACTGTCCATGCAGTTACACCGTTGTAAAGTTTGAATTCAAAGGAATTGAGGTCAGTTAAAGCTTGCAAACACAAAGGAAATTATTGATATTGTAGCAATTCTGGAGATATTTTGTTTAAAATGTAAGGGTGCATATTTTTGATTTCTCAAAGAAAACATTTAAAGTCTTATTAGTGTGGTAAATAGAAATGAGAAGTTTTAACTGAAGTGTGAATGTGTAGACAAGAAGATAAACAGCAGAATCATTCCCAGTCAAAGTTTCAGGTAAACAACTTTTACATACAATAATTATTGTTATTTATGCAGAAACTGTTTAGTTTTTGACAGTAAAAATATGAAGTGGTATTGTATAAAATTGTGTTTTTATATTTGTTTTGTTTGTAACTTGACTAAAAAGAAAGCTGCATGTACAATGTACATATAAAGAATGTAGGAATATAAAGAATGTAGGAAGATCTTCATCATTTCTTAAATACAATATGTTAGAAATTTTAAGTTGAGAAAAAAAAATATAGAAATTAATCAGTAAGTACAATATCATTATGTACAATATTACATCAATCAAACTATAGATAACCTGAGGTACCTATTACTACAACTTTCATGCTATAAACAATTTTCCTTGTGTGTCACATGTGGAGCAGATTAACAGTAACTGATTTATTAGTAAGTTTCATTCCTTCATTGTTGTAATTCAGCTTTCATGGTGCAGTAGATAATTATATAACCATAACTAGACAGTCTAGAGTAACATGCTATTAGGAGAATGACAGTTCATAACAGAAACAGCATTAAATAAGAATTATTATTTTGCAGACACAAAGCAATGAGGAGCAGCCTGGAGCAACACATTTGATCTTCAGTGGCTTTTACAAAGGTATCTTGTTAATTCAAAGTTATTTTAGAATTAATAGGAAAGAAGTGTCACAGTACCCAATAAGACACTTTTCAGTTCTTGATAAATATAGCTATTAGTCACTATTTACAAACCTACTTTAATTCAAACTCTTTATGACACTTTAATTTGCATTTACATTTTGTTTTACAAATTTTAGAGTTTTTGTACATTTTAGCTTGAAAATTTTATCAAATATTTATCCTGATGAAGGTTCGTTAAACTGAAACTGGAAGATTATTAATTACTCAACCTGCACTGGTGTTGATGTGTTGTATTTCTTTATTTCTTTCTTATTTAAAATTTTAGAGTTGTATACATATACCAAGGTCTTATAAAAGTGTTTATTTTCTGTCTTTACATATTAGATATTGATAATCATTTTCTGTCTTTACTTATTTGATATTGTTAATCATATTTTAGGACCAAGTGATGGCAGAACTGATGCCATATGCCTCAAAAGTAAGAAAGGTACAGCAAAGCTCTTCAGAATGCTATTCAATATAGAAGAGATTAAAGGCCGCTCATTGTTTGGTATGAGGAAAGGGAACAGAGAGTCTGACGCCAGACCTCTTGTGCAGACAAGGCAAAACTTAAGTTCTTGGAAGGTAACTAATGAACTGAATGAAAATATCATTTTTGATTCTGCGTATATTTTTTCTGCCTTGGAGTAAATAAGAAAAGTCTGATTCTTTCACGTCTGCAGTGCTGTTTTTAAAGTGTTTTAATCATATCTATGCACTCAAATTGAATATAGAAATATCCAATAGTCATATAAAAATGTAAGCTTATGTTTTTAATTATTGTATTAATCATTCATAATTTTTTTTTGTTTTAGATTGTGCGCTCGAAAAGTTGCCGACAACCTAAAGGACTGAACTCAAACCGTCCAGGAATAGCAAGATAAACTGAAGAAAATAAATGGATTAATGTTTTGCTATTTTTTGAGACAATATATATTTCATATGGAAACATTAAAAGGATTATTTTTAAAATTTGTTTGTTTCAATATAGGGTACAGGGTGACATTCAAGCAGTTTCCAGCTATTGCCACCACAAGGTGGAAAATTTCTGAAAGGGTGAAAATAGGTGGCATTTAGTGGAAACTGAATTGCCACTATCTGGTGGCAAAATGGTGGAGTAGTGTCTAAATACTCCACCATTTTCCACCCTTATGGTGGCAAAAGGTGGAAATAAGTGGCATTTGGTGGAAAATAAGTTTGCCACTCAATGGTGGCATAATGGTGGAAATTTGTCTAAATACTCCACCAATTTTCCACCATTATGGTGGCAATAAGTGGAAAACAAGTGGCATCTAGTGGAAAATGAGTTTGCCACCCTAAGGTGGCATAATGGTGGCATTATGGTGAAAGTTTGTCTAAATACTCCACCAATTTTCCACTCATTGGTGGCATTTAGTGTAAAAAGGTGGAATTAACTGGAAAATTATATAACATCAGTCCTGCTCAAATTTTTCACCATTTTCATGATTTGGGTGGCGTTTTGGTGGCGTTTTGGTGGCATTATTGGTGGAAAATTGTCTAAATACTCCACCATTGAAAAGGGTGGCATTTTAGTGGCAAATCTAGGGACGGGCAGTATGTGGAATATGAATACTTTGTGATAAATACAATGTCGTCTTCAAGATAATGAGCAGAAACAATTCTAACATTCAAGGCCCCCGTGACATTAACCTTTGACCTAGTGATTCCAAAATCAATAGGGATCATCTACTACTTTTGTTTAATCAGTATGTGAAATATGAAGCCGTTGTGATAAACGCTTCAAGATAAGGACCGGAAATCATTTTGATATTAAGGCCCCTATGACTTTGACATATTGACCCCAAAATCAATAGGGGTCATTAACTAGTTTTGACCAATCAGTATGTGAAATATAAAGACTGTGTGATAAGTAATTTTCAAGATAATAAGCAGAAACCATTCTAAAATTTAAGGCCCCTGTGGCCATGACCTTTAAGCTTGTGATCCCAAAATCATTTATAGGGGTCATCTACTACATATGACCAATCAAAATGTGAAATATGAAGACTTTGTGATAAACAGTTTTCAAGATAATCAGCGGAAATCATGTTGGCTACCGAAGGGCAGACAGACTGACATAAGCAAAGTAATTTACCCCCTCTTTCTTTACAATTATTATATCTTCATCTTCTTAAATGTAAAGATGTTACATACAGTTGTAGCATTTAGTTAACAAGCAAAGGAAATTTGTTTTACCTCTTTCTGTTCTGAAACAAGAGTCTCCAAGACTCCAAGTTTCTTTTTCAATTCTGCATTCTCCAGATTTTCGTCATTTACTTTGGACACCTTAGTTTCAAGATCTATTAGCTTCTTTTTCAGATCATCATGTTCCTCTTTAGTTGCAGCACTTTCTGTTGATTTCAAAACTTTTGCCATTTCTTCTTTGATTTGCCTCAGAATCTCTTCAAAACTTTCAGTCGTAATAATAAAATCTTTGTTCTTCAGCTGATTAAAAGAGATCAGTCTTGTTATATTTTCTTTCATAAAAAATGTAGCTATGTAATTAATAATATTTACTCTTCTATATTATACGAGGGGTGATCCAAAAATTCGTGGACACGCTGCATAAAACAAAAAGAAATAAAGCAAATCATATGAAATTCTAGTATCTTATTAAGTAAGCATATGTCGACAAATTCTCAAAATATTGTAAAGATTGTACAAGAATTAACGATTTTGCACCAGTTTATATACATAGACATGACAAAACGCGGCGCAGCTCACGACGTCACAAACGACGTTATGCTATCATAGGAAGTAATCTATGTTACCGTTTTGCCTAATAACTTTTCAAAGTATTCCTCTTTAACCCGCACACATTTTTCATAGCGGCGGACCGAGTCTCTAAATGTACTCGCATACCATTCTTGGCTGAATGATGACAGTATGCATTGGGTGGCTCCTCTCAACTCGTCCAGATTGTCAAAACGTTTCCCTCTCAACTCTTTCTTTAACCTGGGAAACAAGGCGAGGTCACACGGGGAAAGATCAGGCAAATATGGTGAATGACTGAGTACTTCTGCTCAAGAACTAGAGAACGACACACTGAGGGTTTATTTGCCACACTTTCGATCATTGTTTTTGTCTCGCCAGGCGTCTTTCCAAGATTTACATAGAACTGAATAACTGTCCGAAGTTTTGCTGGATCCGTGACGTCCATTTTTGATAAAGCTGTTTTTAGCACCTGTCCTTTAAAGCACGGGCGTAAAATAACCGCAACTTCAAAATGTCTTCTAATACTGACAGAATGCCGCCATACACATCAAAACAACGTTATTATAACGTTTCCGCAATTTTCTTTGTTTGCACAGGTTTTACATGTGTTTAAATGAGATGAAAACGTTTACATCACAGAGAAAAAGTAAGCTGCGCCGCGATTTTGATACTTAATGTTTTTATGTTGTCATATATAGATAAAAAATGCAATTTGTGTTTTAAAATTTGGTCAATTTATTAAACAAGAGGGCCATGATGGCCCTGAGGTCGCTCACCTGTATATAGGCCCCCCCAACCCCCCCCCAAACTTTGCAGGGCCAATTTAACCAAAGGGCTTTTATTTGCACAAACTTGGTAGACACCCATAAGAAGATGTTTCATGCTAAAACATCTAAGCTCTAGCTCATTGGGCTATTTAAAAAGAAGATTTTTTTTAAAATTTTTACTATACACATATAGTTAAAAACAATGACACCCCTGGGCCGGGCTAGTTATGACCCCAGGGTTTTTATTTGAACAAACTTTGTAGACACTTACTAGAATATGTTTCATGCTTAACATCTAAACTCTAGCTATTTGGGTTTTTTCAAAGAAGATTTTAAGTTTTTGCTATACACATATAAGGAAAATCAATGACCCCGGGGCGGGGCCAATTTTGACCCAGGTCTTTTATTTGACAAACTTTGTAGACACTCACTAAAAGATGTTTCATGCTTAATATCTTAACTCTAGCTATTTGGGTTTTTTTTCAAAAAAGATTTTTTTAAGTTTTTGCTATACACATATAAGGAAAATCAATGAACCCCGGGCGGGGCCAATTTTGACCCCAGGGCTTTTATTTTGAACAAACTTGGTAGACACCTATTAGAACATGTTTGATGCTAAATATCTTAACCATAGCTCTTTGAGTTCTTTAAAAGAAGATTTTTTAAGTTTTTTCTATATGCATATAATAGGAAAATCAATGACCCCCGGGGCGGGGTCAATTTTGATCCCAGGGCTTTTATTTTGAACAAACTTGGTAGACACTTATTAGAACATGTTTCATGCTAAATATCTTAGCTCTAACTCTTTTGGTTCTTTAAAAGAAGATTTTTTAAGTTTTTTACTATATGCATATAGGGAAAATCAATGACCCCCTGGGCGGGGCCAATTTTGACCCCAGGCTTTTCTTTTGAACAAACTTGGTAGACACCTATTAGAACATGTTTGATGCTCAATATCTTAGCCATAGCTCTTTGAAAACTTTAAAAGAAGATTTTTAAGTTTTTACTATATGCATATATAGGGAAAATCAATGACCCCCCGGGGCGGGGCCAATTTTGACCCCAGGGCTTTTATTTGAACAAACTTGGTAGACACTCACTAGAAGATGTTTCATGCCAAATATCTAAGCTCTAGCTCTTATGGTTTTTTAAAAGAAGATATTTAAAGTTTTTTCTTTTGGTTGCCATGGCAACCAGAGTTCTGCATGGAATTAAATTCTTTGAACAATTTTTAAAGGTGACCACCAAAGGAACATTCCTGTGAAGTTTGGATGAAATTGGCCTTGTGGTTTATGAGGAGATGTCATTTAAAGTAAAAGTTTACGGACGACGGACGGACGACGGACGGACGCCGGACGAAAAGCGATCACAAAAGCTCACCCTGTCACTTTGTGACAGGTGAGCTAAAAAGCATTGATTAATAATATCCAAAGAGTTCACCTCGGTAGGACGTCACGTTATGGAGATACACACATTGTCCACGAATTTTTGGATCACCCCTCGTATATCAGGTCAAACTTCATTTCAAATTATCCCAATTGCTCTTTTATTTAAACTCTCATACTTTTTTCTTAAATCCACTTTTTTAAGGCAGTATACACTTACCTATGTAACTTATCTGATTCTCAGACATTACTATTTTCTCACTGTTTTCTTATCTATTTCAGCGTAACCAACAAGAGGGTCATGATGGCCCTGCAATCCATCACCTGAATATAGGCCTTTGGGGTAGGGCCAATTTTAGCCAAAGGGCTTTTATTTGAACAATTTTGGTAGACACCCATTAGAAGATGTTTCATGATAAATATATAAGCTCTAGCACTTTAAGGATTTTAAAAGAAGATTTTTTAAGTTTTTACTATACACAGATAATGAAAAACAATGATCATTGTGAAATGAAAATGATCCCCCGCCCTCCCAATTTTGACCCAAGGGATTTTATTTACACAAACTTGTTACACACTCACTAGAAGATATTTAATGCTTGGAATCTAAACTCTAGCTCTCTGGGTTTTTAAAAGAAGATTTTTCAGTTTTTACTACACACAAAAGGAAAA